ATCACTGCGTTGTGTTTGTTACATTTTACTGTTTAGAAGATTGACGAGTCTTTAAATCACCTTAATAAATGCTTTACAAAGCATGAATAATCCTCACTTTAGATTAGCTCACAAAAATAGTTAACTGACTACTAATAAATGCTTTATAACTACCTGTATTTACTACATTTACTTACACTTTCTAAGTGATCTTATGAATGACTGACAACTCTTAAACAACTGGTTTGTAAATAATGCTATACTTCATTTAGAAATTATTAATTGATCATTAACAAAGTATGAAAATACAATCATTAAACGCATTATAGATATGCTTATAAATCAAGAAAAAAGCATGTATAGCTATATTTATAAACTGTATATTAATGTCTATTAATGTTTTATAAATGATGAATTAACTGTTTACTCATGCTTAACTAATGATTAATAGTGTGCAGTTATTATAAAGTGTTACCAGCTTTTTAACTGGGGGAGTTGCAAAGAAAGTGTAGTATCCCTATAAATGTTAATAATATTTCAGAATATTTTTTTTTAATATTTTTTCAAATAAATGCAGCCTTGGTGAGCAGAAGAGACTTTCAGAAACTCACAAACTTCAAAACTCTTAGAAAAAGGTGATGTGATGAAGGTCAAAATAATGCGCTGTGATATTTACAGTCTTTATTTATGAACCCTGAGATGCTTTACATCGGTCTTGTTTATTGTCAGTCTCTGAGGATTATCTCATCAGAGATAACGCAACTGTTTGGCAAGTCGTGGTGGCGTTTATCCTTTCTGCTTGAATCTCGGCCATCTCAGTGTGTGGCAGTCAGTGAAGTCTGATCCTCACAGACCAAAGGAGAACAGAGGAGTCCGGCTGTGTGAATTCGACCGCCGTGGTTCTGTTGTGTCCCCGCGATGGGCCTGAGAAGCTCTGATGGGACCCCAGCCAACAAAGAGACGTGCCTCTCAGTATGCCGTCGGCGCATGTGAGCCAAAAAGTGTGGTTTCATTTTTTTTTTCTCCTGGTTTGAAGTGTCCATTTTAAACGGAATGAAAGACAAACTCGATCCTGTTCTGATTGTAAAGCCACAAAGCGTGAAACCGGAGCGGAGAGTGTATCTGTCCCGGGCACCTAAAGCAGAACAAAAAGTGTTTGAACGGATCCTCTTAGGCCGTCATTGTGGCCACAAATGGAAATCTGGTGAAAGATGTCGTCGGTGAAGTTAGCTTGCAAAATAATCCGATGGCATTCCCGAGAGAGATGAGAGAGGCAGGGAATTGTTTTTCGGCTCAGGCAAGGACATTTCTTCTGACTAGAAAGGATTTGCTCAACAAAGAGAAGCTGGAAGGTGTTTGTGGTCGAAGAGGCTGCTTTGAGTCACTTGGTTAACCTTACTTTGCTCTTAGCGAAAGTTTGTAGCTTCTAAATCAAGGCACCGTGGCATAAATGATTATTAGTGGCGTTTGCAAAGTCAATCTTGAGGTTAATGGTGTGATGAAACCTCTAACACAAAGCATTAAAGTTCAGTGTGTGTGTCGCCCTGCGGCGTTCGAGCTCCACTCATGAATGATTCCTCGAATCAGGTGTGCTGTTACTTTCCTGAGTGATCAGACAAGTTTGCCAAAGTTTCCTGCGCCAAAACCACACAGTTGCAGTCACAAGTTTCCGTGCGCCCTGCAGAACATGTTAATAATTAAAGCTTAACATTCGTTTCATTAATAGAGTTTCGCAGGAACTATGCAGTTTTATAATCCCTCTTTGTTTAAATTATTAACGATTTGCTGATTCTGCGAGGTACGTTCTGAAGTGTGATTTAGTTTTTCAGACCCTTTTTCCCTTTTTTCTCTGAATTAAACTGAATTTGTGCTTCTATATTTGACTTTATTTAATTGAAGTCAAAGAGATTGATAATTATAATAATGAAGTATACTTGATTGTGATTATGATTGGTCAACATCAGGGTGTTTCACGAGTTATGTAAACAGGCATTCATGTTATCCAAGTCTACTGAAGTCATATGAAGAAAATATGAATGAGAGAAACAGACTCAAATTTAAGTCATTATTTGCTTAAAAAATGTTTTTAATATTGATTTGCATACTTCAAAACGTGGTAGAAGACTGTTAGTAGACTATAGCAGACTGTTAGTAGGCTGTAGAAGACTGTTAGCAGACTGTTAGTAGATTGTACCAGACTGTTAGTAGACTGTTAGTAAACTGTTAGACTGTTAGTAGATTGTAGCTGACTGTTAGTAGGCTGTTAGCAGGCTGTAAAAACTGTTAGCAGACTGTTAGTAGACTGTTAGTAAACTGTTAGACTGTTAGTAGATTGTAGCTGACTGTTAGTAGGCTGTAGTAGACTGTTAGTAGACTGTAAAAGACTGTTAACAGACTGTTAGTAGATTGTACCAGACTGTTAGTAGAATGTTAGTAGGCTGTTAGTAGATTTGTACCAGACTGTTAGTAGACGGTTAGTAGACTGTTAAACTGTTAGTAGACTGTTAGTAGACTGTTAAACTGTTAGTAGACGGTTAGTAGACTGTTAAACTGTTAGTAGACTGTTAGTAGATTGTACCAGACTGTTAGTAGAATGTTAGTAGGCTGTTAGTAGATTGTACCAGACTGTTAGTAGACTGTTAGTAGACTGTTAGCAGACTGTTAGTAGACTGTTAGTAGATTGTACCAACTGTTAGTAGACGGTTAGTAGACTGTTAAACTGTTAGTAGACTGTTAGTAGATTGTACCAACTGTTAGTAAGACGGTTAGTAGACTGTTAAACTGTTAGTAGACTGTTAAACTGTTAGTAGACTGTTAGACTGTTAGTAGACTGTAGAAGACTGTTAGTAGACTGTTAGTAGATTGTACCAGTCTGTTAGTAGATTGCTAGACTGTTAGTAGACTGTTAGACTGTTGGTAGATTGTAGCAGACTGTTAGTAAATTGTTAGACTGTTAGTAGACTGTTAAACTGTTAGTAGACTGTTAGACTGTTGGTAGATTGTAGCAGACTGTTAGTAGATTGTTAGACTGTTAGTAGACTGTTAGTAAACTGTTAGTAGACTGTTAAACTGTTAGTAGACTGTTAAACTGTTGGTAGATTGTTAGACTGTTGGTAGATTGTTAGACTGTTAGTAGATTGTAGCAGACTGTTAGTAGACTGTTAAGTTAAGGTTAGGTATTAGGGTTTAGGTTAGTAGAATAAGTTGATATGTAGAGTTACCTAGAGTTAGTAGAATGTCTAAATGTCTGTTTCCCTGCGATTTACATGCGACTGTCATTCTACATTTCTCGTTTATGTCACTTAAAGTGCACATGAATATGCATTTGAGCTCCAGATATGAATGATTCCTCAAACCAGGTGTGCTGTGACTTTACTAAGTGATTTTACATTTTTCCCCAGCATGCACTGCAGCTTGAAAAATGATGTGGCAACTATTATTGAAGAGTCATTGCTTTGCATTCACTGGCTTTATTCACTGACATTATTTAGCTGTCTTGTGTTTCATATATTGACTGAATAACAATTGTTGATCATCACTGTGTTTGAGATTTGTGCGTTGAGGTACATGTGCATCTCATTGCAACTTTTGTGCACAATATATTTGCCAGGGTAAAAGTTTGCCTCTAAATTTAAGAGGCATATAATGTTCAAATTATGTAATTAGCATTGAAAATCAAACATGAAGATGAAAAAAACAAGGACGGTTGCCCCTTGCTCTACTAAATACAAAACAATATTTAGTTCCCTTGACACTACCTGTTACTCATTAGATGAACCAAAGTATTTAATTTGACTTTAATTGGAGCTAATTAATTGAGTTGAATGTCATATGTTGCCTTACTTTTTCAAGTTAGCTCAACTTTGTACCCTAAATGTTGCAAACAGATTACTGCACTTTGTGTTCAAAGTAGGGTTGTAACGATACACTCGTCACGATTCAATACACTGTACTTACAATACTGTCACGATATTTTAAGCTAAAATGCATTATTATAATTACTTTTTTTTATTTTTAAAGTATTATAATTATTGTTATATTATGATCAGGACCTGCAAATATTCCCCCATTGCATCATTATACATTATTTTCAACATTATATATTGTAATTTAATGCAGTAATATCACTGAAACGCCATAACCTTTCATTATTTTCCTCACAGAGTACTCACGCTTTGATTAGTATTGTATATAGAGTAGTATTGTTCATTCTTAGTTGATGTTAACTAAAGTAGTTAATTAATGAAACCTCACTGTAAAGTGTTAACCTGTGTACTGTCAACATTTCTTGTATATGTGTCTTGTGAAAGTGTGTATGAAAATGTCACCATGTGCTTTTCTATCTCTACACTCTCAGAAAAAAAGGTACAAAAGCTGTCACTGGGGCTGTACCGTTTCAAAAGGTACACTTTTGTACCCAAAGGCCGTTTCAAAAGGTACACTTTTGTACCCAAAGAACCTAAAATGTACATATTAACACCTAAAATGTACATATAAGGACCTAAAATGTACATATTAAGACCTAAAATTGACATATTAGCTCCCGAAATGTACATATTAACACTTAAAATGTACATATTAGCACCTAAAATGTACATATTAACACCTAAAATGTACTTATTACCACCTAAAATGTACATATTAACACCTAAAATGTACTTATTAGCACCTAAAATGTACATAAGGACCTACAATGTACATATTAACACCTAAAATGTACTTATTAGCACCTAAAATGTACATATAAACACCTAAAATGGACATATTAGCACCTAAAATGGACAAAAGTTTACCTTTCGAAAAGGTACAGCCCCAGTGACAGCTTTTGTACCTTTTTTTCTGAGAGTGTAGGATCAAATAGAGCCAACAGCAAGGTTTTCACTTCATGCCTAACTCTCTACAAAGGCTGCGTGTGTGTAATGCTGAATGATTGTGTTTCTCTATATCTGATTGTCCTTGAGATCAAACATCAAATATGATTTTTCATGTCCTATTTTTATTTTATTTTTTTCTTACACCAGATGCTCCCCGAGTCATTGTGAACATGGAGGGAGATGCTCTCAGTCATGGAGCACGTTTCACTGCAACTGTTCTGCCACGGGGTACAGCGGAGCGACCTGTCACAGCTGTGAGAACGCTTCTGAAACACACACTATATGAACCTTTCATTACACTGTTAAAGTCAAGGACAGATCACAAGTCGAATGCGGAGAGAAGAGTTTACCTCATCTGCCATATCTGGCCTCCAAAACTGACATCTTCACCCTTTATTTAAATTTAGTTAAAGGTCAGTAAGCATATTGCGCAATAATAACGCAGCGAAAGATGACAAATTGTGCCGACATAATTTTTGGCCAGGCTTTCGTACAAAGAAATGATGAACACAAGCGAGTACACTTAATAACTGATTGTTGTAGTCAATAGCTGCGTTACCTTCAATTTGCGCAAATTGAAATTGCGAAATGAAAATACGCTCAATGGAAACACGTCAATTTCTCAAAAAAACTCCCGTTTATCGCAAAAAAGTTTTTACGCTCGCATGAGGAGGTTTTTCAGGCAATTCGAAAAAGGATTTTTTCGCAATACTGCAATGGAAACGGATTTTGCTCATTTACAGTCACCTGACTTAGAAGACGGAGTGTGTTTTAGGTCCGTGTCCGCAAATAATAATAATAATTATCATCATTAGCCTATTATAACATTTATTAGGCTACATATGAAGAGTTCAGATGCAAAAGCCTCTAAATGCCATTTGAAATTTTCTTCTTTAATGACGATTTTTATCAAACTTGTATATTTAAGTTCAGTAATTTCACTTAAATGGCAATGATAATTACCTATTAATTGTTATTTAAGTGAAATTACTGAACTTATATATACAAGTTTGATAAAAATCAAAATCATCAAGAAGAACATTTCAAATGGCATTTAGAGGCTTTTGCATCTGAACTCTTCATATGTACACTGTAAAAAATATTGATGGTTTAACTTAAAAAAGTAAGTAACCTGGTTGCCTTCAAATTTTAAGTTCATTGAACTGGAAAAAGTGAGTTAATGCAATGAAGGAGATTAATGTCACCATCAGAAACTCAAAATTATATGTTATCTGAACTAAATAAATTATTTAAGTTGATTTGACAAAAGAAAAAATGTTGTGATTACTACACTGTAAAAAAATATTGTTGGTTTAACTTGAAAAAGTAAGTAACCTGGGTTGTCTTAAAATTTTAAGTTGATTGAACTGGAAAAAGTGAGTTAATGCAATGAAGTAGATTAATTTAACCATCAGAAACTCAAAATAATAAGTTATCTCAACTAAATAAATTATTATAAAGTTGATTTGACAAAAGAAAATATGTTGTGATAACTAATCTTGAAAATATTTTTTACAGTGAGAAGACGCTTTTATCCAAAAAAGGAACAAAGCAATTCGTCACATCTCATTCATAGTACAGGTTGGACAATAATAATAATAGGGCTAAGATTATCACATTAAAACACTCGATTTTGACCAATATCCAAGATTGTGTGTGGAGTTTGTAGCACGCACTGGATGGCAGACAGTGAACACTTTCATTTTCCCATCAACAGTGGAATCAACTTAAAATACTCTATCATTTCTGGTTATACAGAAAATAATGATACATTATTCGCAACTACTTTTATTTGCGTAATGTCACAATAACAAGAAAACGTTGTGCTTTTGTAAAATAACAAAACAATCAGGCGCGCTTTATGATCTTCGTGAACTGGAGCGCGAGAACTGAAACAAAATCCTTTATAAACTAAAGCTTGAAATGTCCACTTTAAAAAGAACAAATTCGAATTGTAAACTAATACCTTCTGATTATGTAATATCCGTATGAAATGTGCAGTTCTCTCTAAATGTGCATCCAGAGATTATTTTAGCTTGTTATTTTTTCAGACGCATTTATAATAACTCACCTATTCAGCACTGCGGGAAAAATATCATAAATATCCATGTTCTAATTTGGCCTTAGAAAACCAGTAAAATCAACATTTTTTTCCCCATATTAATTTGTGAATATTTTAAATGTTTTAAAGAGGGCAAAAAGTCATTAACAAATATCTGAAATTTCGTTGAGATGTATACAGCGCAACATTGGTGGTCAAACTAAAATGTTGGTGTTCAACTTTGCGTTTTAAAAATACAAAATTCGTTCATTTTTCGTTTTGCAACGACCGTTTGGACATAATACGAGATAGAGTTCTTTATTAAATTCATTTAAAAAAAAAGAAACAATAATTACAGGAATAGCCTCTCTAAACCTCAAAGAAATGCAGAAATAAGGGGGAAACACCAGGAACTCCATGTCTTTCCCTGCCATTAATGCTTGGATAACACACCACGTCTCCTTCCATTAATAATAATAATAATAATGTCTAGTGCGGTGCATGGCTGTGAAATAGGTTATAAACCTACCAAAGTCCGTTGCCATGATTTTTGGAATGACTTATCGCGAGAGGAAAAAAAAGATGTTTTAGTCACATAACATCGGTTAATGGAAACACCGTCATTTCGCAATAGTTTTTTATCGACATTTCGAAAATATCGCAAAAGTTTTGCGCAAATCTGTAATGGAAACGCAATGTCGGCTTTTCCCTGTGAGCTTTTAAATGTGATCCCTGTCACTCAGCGCTGGATCTCGGGTTCATCTGCTAACAGACTCGAGTCATTAAAAGTGTTTAAGTGAGTATGCAAATGCACTTTCTTATCGACATTGTTTTGAACTTTTAATGAAAATTGAATTGGTGTGAAACGACTGTGAAGGCGGGATGCTGACATGCTTGTGTAACTCACTTCATTATGCCACAGATCACATTGCATGTTCTAGTCATGTTATATTGGAGTTTAAACGCGCTGCAATCTTTTTTCTCTTCGGCTCACATTCAATGCGACACATTTTCAACACAATATATTCTGTCTATAGACATTGCATTTAGAGCAAATGGTCAAAATCATATACTGCACACTTACTTTAGTAAACGTGAAATTAAACTTCCGAATGCATTTTGTATTATGAAGCGAGAAGTGTGGTGCCATAAATATTGCATGCAAACAGAGCAGCTTTAATTATGACCATCTGCATCTGTTTTGTAGCTCTGATTTCATGATGTAATGCAGACAGGGGAAGATAACTATCCATTAAGGTGCTTAGGGTGAAACGGATTACTGTAGGTTTCACTTTCAAGGAAAATAATTACAATCTATAGGCAATCTGTTTGTTTCAATCTGTTTATTTCATATGCACACGATGGAGTACTTAATTTTATGGAAAGATTTGAGTTTGTGAGCCAACAAAGCTTTATAAAAACCTGATCACAAGCCCAGAAAAGCAATCTATTTTTTTATTCAATGCAGATACTTAGGTACATACACTCATCTAAAGGATTATTAGGAACACCATACTAATACTAATACTGTGTTCGCCTTCAGAACTGCCTTAATTCTACGTGGCATTGATTCAACAAGGTGCTGAAAGCATTCTTTAGAAATGTTGGCCCATATTGATAGGATAGCATCTTGCAGTTGATGGAGATTTGTGGGATGCACATCCAGGGCACGAAGCTCCCGTTCCACCACATCCCAAAGATGATCTATTGGGTTGAGATCTGGTGACTGTGGCGGCCATTTTAGTACAGTCAACTCATTGACATGTTCAAGAAACCAATTTGAAATGATTGGAGCTTTGTGATATGGTGCATTATCCTGCTTGAAATTGATGGGTACATGGTGGCCATAAATGGATGGACATGGTCAGAAACAATGCTCAGGTTGGCCGTGGCATTTAAACGATGCCCAATTGGCACTAAGGGGCCTAAAGTGTGTCAAGAAAACATCCCCACACCATTACACCACCACCACCAGCCTGCACAGTGGTAACAAGGCATGATGGATCCATGTTCTCATTCTGTTTACGCCAAATTCTGACTCTACCATCTGAATGACTCAACAGAAATCGAGACTCATCAGACCATGCAACATTTTTCCAGTCTTCAACTGTCCAATTTTGGTGAGCTCTTGCCTCTTTTTCCTATTTGTAGTGGAGATGAGTGGTACCCGGTGGGGTCTTCTGCTGTTGTAGCCCATCCGCCTCAAGGTTGTGCGTGTTGTGTCTTCACAAATGCTTTGCTGCATACCTCGGTTGTAACGAGTGGTTATTTCAGTCAAAGTTGCTCTTCTATCAGCTTGAATCAGTCGGCCCATTCTCCTCTGACCTCTCGCATCAACAAGGCATTTTGGCCCACATGACTGCCGAAATACTGGATGTTTTTCCCTTTTCACACCATTCTTTGTAAACCCTAGAAATGGTTGTGTGTGAAAATCCCAGTAACTGAGGAGATTGTGAAATACTCAGACACCAACAACCATGCCACGCTCAAAACTGCTTAAATCACCTTTCTTTCCCATTCTGACATTCAGTTTGGAGTTCAGGAGATTGTCTTGACCAGGACCACACCCCTAAATGCATTGAAGCAACTGCCATGTGATTGGTTGATTAGATAATTGCATTAATGAGAAATTGAACAAGTGTTCCTAATAATCCTTTAGGTGAGTGTATATCTTCCACATATTGTTTGCAATTATATATGTCAGTAAGTGTGCAGATATACTCAGCTACTGTACTGCAGAAATGTGCTTTCATTTGTACACCTCCAAACGCTCCTCTGACTGACAGGAGCTTTATATGAGATCTAATTATGAGGTCGCACTATAAAGTCCCTCTCAATAAAGCTCACCCTTTAAAACAGCTCAAGTGTGTGAACGTCTGTCATGCTGCCGCCATTAATATGTGAGTGACAGGTGCTTAATTTTAGCCGAAATCTGTTCCACACTCTTTTTTTTTTTGGCTTTTCACTTCATTTAAGACTTGGTGTAAATCCATAAGTGTGTAAAACTCAACCTCTGCAGATAATGAGCTCCTGACCTTGTGTCATGTTTTATTTCCTCTACAGGAGTCATATCACGAGGAGTTCAATTCTCCTGGCTTTTTGGGGGGGATTAAAGTACTTGATATGCCATGCAAAAATGTCCTTTCTAGTACAAAAGATTATGCATAACTGTTGAAGCAATTAATGATAAAAATGATGCATTTTTCTCAAATTCTGAGGACAATATTTTAAATATGAACCACTAAACTTGGTTATTTATCTAACAAAATTTGGGGGCAAAAATATATAGCATGCAGGATAAAGCATGCAGTGACTACAACATAATCAGTCATTAATATTATTTTTGCATGTGTTCATAATTATTTTGTATGACAGCCTGGCCAATAATTACAACTAGTACTAATTAGAACACAACTACACAATATACTTCAATGTTTTATAATATTAGATGAATATTTTGTCCACTACTGATTCAGTCATATAAATTAGTTTTGTGTGTGTGTGTTTAGTGTAAATTTGTGTTTATTTATATATCAGTTTTAATGCTGCTTGCTTTGTGCCATTTAAATACGGATTCATGCGATCAAATGATTACGTAATTAAAAAGATCTTGGCCTTATTTTTTTTTTATTTTCTAAAGGGCAGCTTGACTAACTTCTGGAAAGAACTTCATCTAAAGTTCAGGAATCTTGCCATCCTGTTTAACATGTAATAACAAGTTTTTGTTTTTCTGCGACGTGCATTTTCACACATGCTTCATGAACTGGTCACAACTTCATCGGTAGACAGACAGTGTGAACGCGCACTCGTTACTGTTGTTCTTCGCAGTTCTCACCTCATTATCTCTCCACACGCATCTTCTGTGTTTGACTAACCTGCTACTTCTGTGTTTGCAGCCATTTATGAAGCGTCGTGTGAGGCGTACAAACACAAAGGAAACACGTCTGGCTTTTACTACATAGACGTGGATGGAAGCGGCCCCATCAAACCTCAACTAATCTACTGCAACATGTCAGGTGAATCGCACACAGCGTATCCACGCTGATTAAATCCCTTTAAACACTCCGTAATTGGGGCTTTAATCCACAGCTTTTGATCCTTCACACACCGTCTCACACCCCGCGGAGGAATCACTCGTGGAAAAACACTTCAGAAAACCCCTCAGATCAACCTTCGAGCGACACGTGTGCGACTCTTGCAAATAAAGTTATAAGGCTTTTACAAGCTTTTGAAGTGCTATGGTTTCTTAGAAAACCAACACATCACATTCAGATCTTCACTTTTCCTTTGTTGAACTCAATATGAAATCCATATGGACCCTTTTTACTTATTCGCACACATTGCTCATCTTATTGGGCGTGAGTTTTTCCATAACCATCTCTAAAATTACCATCCTATTTCTCAGCCAATCCCATTCAAAATCGTATTTCACATTTGAATTATTTTTGTATCATTAATATACGGTTAAAGTACTTATTCATATTTCATATTGGTTTTCATTTCTCTCATTCAAAATAATCATTTGTACAGTAATAATTAAGATTTTTTTAGTATATACTTTTGCATACACAAAAGTTTAAAAATATATACAGTATATTAGTTTATATATATATTATAACATTTTAAAAATAACATGTTTTAGTACAATTTTTTTGTGTGTTTGTTATTTTTTATTTGTTTTTGGGGTTTAAATAATTCAATGTAGTTTCTATTTCAGTTATAGTTATTAGTTTCATTCATTATAGTTATTTCACAGTTGTTTCATTTCAGTGAATGAAAAAGTGTTAATAAATTCAATAAATAAGTCAATAAATAAATAAATAAAGTCAATAAATTCAGTTTTAGTTTAACATAGCAACACCATTTCATGTCATGGCAAAATGGGTTGAACGTGTCATTTCATGTTGATTTGAACATATTTCGCCTTTATTTGCCAAAATAATTCAATTTACCAAAATTATTTACCAAAATTATTTACCAAAATAATTCAAATGTGAATTAAGATACTGAATGAGATTGGCTAAGAAATAGGAATAAATAAAGTCAATAAATTCAGTTTTAGTTTATAAATAAATAAATAATAAATAAATAAAGTCAATAAATTCAGTTTTAGCTGTATAAATAAATATATATATAATAAATAAATAAATAGATAAAGTCAATAAATTCAGTTTTAGTTGTATAAATAAATATATATAATAAATAAATAAAGTCAATAAATTCAGTTTTAGTTTAACATAGCAACACCATTTCATGTCATGGCAAAATGGGTTGAACGTGTCATTTCATGTTGATTTGAACATATTTCGCCTTTATTTACCAAAATAATTCAATTTACCAAAATTATTTGCCAAAATAATTCAAATGTGAATTAAGATACTGAATGAGATTGGCTAAGAAATAGGAATAAATAAAGTCAATAAATTCAGTTTTAGTTGTATAAATAAATATATATAATAAATAAATAAAGTCAATAAATTCAGTTTTAGTTTAACATAGTAACACCATTTCATGTCATGGCAAAATGGGTTGAACGTGTCATTTCATGTTGATTTGAACATATTTCACCTCTAGTAGATTCAATCTAAAGAACCTAAAATGAAACGTCAACAATCTCCGATAACGAAAAGAAGCATGAAGAACACAAGAAGCTCTGTTTTTATGATTGTTTAGTAGATACCAAATGCTTTAGGTTTTTTTACGAACTTCTGAAAGTGCACAGGTGAAAACCAAAAAAGCCTGAGAAAAAACAGTCTGCACAGTGTGTCTCTTTTCACCGTTTGAATCCCTCTCGTCCCTGCAGATAAAGCATGGATGGTGATACAACACAATAACACTGAGCTCACCAAATTAAAAGCGTCGCCCGGGATGAATCAGCATTTAGCCCACTTTAACTATTCCGCCGACGCGGAGCAGATCCGGGCGATAATCACCCAGGCTGAATACTGTGAGCAGGAGCTCTCCTACCACTGCAAAAAGTCACGGCTCTTGAACACACCAGGTAAGCCCTTTTTATTAGGAATATCGATCGCCCCCTCCATATGCAAGACCGGGCTTATTAAACCCGCAGACGCTCGCATGACGCTTAAGCGCACAGCTCAAATTGATTGTAATGCCCTTTGTTATGGGCAGTTTATATTGAGTTACACCCCCCCATTTTTCAGAACTAAATTAATTAAAAGGTCCCTTTAGGGTCCATTATTCATGTGTATTCGTGCCTTTGAAGAGCTTTTATCATGTTTGTTTGTGTGGGTTTGTCATGTGTGGTTTGGTACAGTGGCTCTCCATCACAGGTCGAGTCAGGTGATAATGCTTCTCGTAGTCTCTCGTACAAACACGAAACATCACCCACGGTAATTGCGTCCATTAGTTGTCTCATTATCAGAGTTCTTGATGAGATGAGGAGAACGCGGTGTCAGGCGTAAATAAGAAATGTTGGAAATGTCAGGTGAATAGTAATGAAAGGAACACGCTAGTCTCGATTAAACCTGGACAGATGCGCTTACCGGACGACGGCTGTGGGAGCGTGATCGTCTCGGAGTGACAAATCACACATGAGATCTCTTTAACATCTCAATTATTTCTGTTCGACAGCATAAATGCAGAGCAAATAAAGCCTACTTCTCAGATGTGACTCTCGAGAAAAGACCATAGAAATCGTCTCAAATTCTGCTCCAATTTGCCAAGATCCCAAAGTCATTGATCTCGACATGAACTCAAAACATTTAGGGGGTGAATTATCTGAACTGTTGACTCATTTGTAGGGGTGTAACGAACCATTCGGTACGCATTTTTAAACCGAACGGCAGAGGTGGGTAGAGTATCCAAAAACTATACTCAAGTAAAAGTACTTATAGAAATATTTACTCAAAGTCAAAGTAAATGTAATAATCTTAAAAATTACTTGAGTACGAGTAAAAAAGTATCCAATGAAAACGACTACTCAAGTAGTTAGTTAGTTACTTTGGATCATATAGACCCATATATATATATATATATATAAATACTGTATATATATAAAACATGATATTATTTAGATATTTTGTCATTAAAAATAACTACTATTATCATAATTAGATAAGCTATCTTTGCAACAAAAACAGAAAAGACAAACATTATTTCTGTATATTATATCTGTAGCCCGAAAACTATGAGCTGTCCTTTGGTTTGTATAATAGTATAGTAACTATAAAAGTCAAGTATAGCTCCATAATTGCTCAAAGTAAAAAATATCATATTTTATGATGTTAGTTTTAATAAAAATATAATTTAAAAAAAATTATATCAAGGACATTTCTCTGGCATTTCTTTCTTTTTGCTTTATCGAAAACGTACCGAACCGTGACACAAGTGTATCATATTGAACCGAACCGTGAATTTTGTGAACCGTTACACCCCTACTCATTTGTGTTTGTTTTAATTTATTTTCAGGAACTTTAGTAGAAACATCTCTCGTATGAAAAACACCTCATGCATGTCTCAAATTATGCTCAGATTCTCCAAGATCCCAAAATCTGCAATCAAAACACTTCTCATCAAATTCACCATTTTGCCTGTTTTTTATTTGTTTTGAAGAAGTACAAATCCCCCGCCTCTCAGATCCCAAACAACAAGTCTGCAACCAAAACTCAGAAATCACATCAAAATGATGATCTGAACCATTGACTCATTTGTGTACATGTTTACTTCTTTTGGAAAGCTTATACATTGTTGAAACATCTGAGACTGACGCGAGACCTCTGAGCAATAATGCTTTTGTTCTGGGTGTGCAAAAATCTTGCTTTTATACTGTCTAATGTCTCTTTTCGATGTCTAAGCATCATCCTGTAGATCTGTGTGTGTGTGTGTGTTGTTGTTGCAGATGGGACCCCCTTCAGCTGGTGGGTGGGACGTTCGGGTGAAGCGCACATGTACTGGGGTGGAGCAGTGCCGGGGAGCCAGCAGTGTGCCTGTGGCCTTCAGGAGAACTGTGTGCATCCTGAACACTTCTGTAACTGTGATGCCGACAGCAAAGAGTGGTACGACACCAGACGTGTAGTTCAGTTCTCTTGGTTCTTCTGGTCCGGACCACAAAATAAAACCATACATTTAGTCCTGGTTCGCTTAGTGTTCACATTTTTCTTAACACCACACCCAAAAAAAAAAAACCTAGCTTTTATGACGTATATTTTGTGACAGAACATCCAAAGCAGTGCTGTGTGTGGGCTAAATGCGCTCGCTGTATGTCCTCGCACATGTGATGCCGTTCTTCCAGTTGAGAATTCGTGAAGAGCTTAAATAATGTGCGAGTAAAACAGCAGCATGAATTCCTCTGTTGTCAAAGATCTGCTGAAACGAGAAGCGGTTCTGATACCGAACTGTGATGGGCAATGTAGATCATGTTACGAGAGTAAACAGGTATGTCCTTTTTTAAGCCCTGTTCACACCACCAGAGACTTTGTCGCTGTGTGTCGCTAGGCTGTGATGTCGCTCGTGCTGTCGCTCTGATGTTATTGGTAGACTGCACGTCTGGCCATATCTATACAAAATACCATCACAAGTGATATATACAACTATATAATTTTAATTTGACTTGGAATAAATTACTTTAAAGAAGGCTAAAAAGAAACTGTATGCTGTTGGGAGAGTGTTTTTATATTACCACAGCAGTGTTCAGTGGATTAAATAATTTACCAGATTAACGATCGATCAATCGACAAATTAAACTCACTCATACTCTCATAAATTATTAAAACGTCATTCGAATTTGACAAATAATCCATTTTCTTGTCCCTAATAGTCAACGTAATGCAAGGGAACTACAGCAGTTCTAAACGAGCATCATAAAATTAAAACACTCGGACTATATATATATATATATATATATAAATTAGCTTTTTTCCATCATTGGGTATTGGGAAATGTGCTTGCAATTTAATAATGTTACGATGCAAAAAAAAAAAAAGTGATTTATGGGTGAAATGTGACCTGGACATGTTCTGGGCAGATTTCATGAGATTCACAGTTAACATGAAATGAAATGTGTTTTTCTCAAATGAACAAACATGCTGTTTTGTGATGTGTGACAGGTCTAATGACTCCGGGCTGCTGTCCCATAAAGAGCATTTGCCGGTTGGAGCGCTGGCTATCGGTGACATTAGCAGATCCGGTTCAGAGGCAGCCTACAGAGTGGGTCCCATGCAGTGTTACGGTGACAGTAAGTGCTGCACAGATTTAATATTAACCGCTCTAATCACACTGTAACCACTTAGCCTCTCAGTCCGGCTCTGGATGGATTGCAGTAATGCTTAATGAGAAACCATGATGTTGTTCCCGGCGAACTATAGACATGTGCTACTGTTCATGCTTTCTCCAGGTAACTTCTGGAACGCCGCCTACTTCAACAAGGAGACGTCGTACCTGCACTTTCCCACGTTCCACGGGGAGCTGAGCGCTGATATCTCCTTCCTCTTTAAAACCAGCTCTTCATCAGGAGTGTTCCTGGAGAACCTGGGGATCAAAGACTTCATTCGGATTGAACTGAGCTGTGAGTGTGTTCAACTTTTCAGCTTTTTTTCTCTCTCACAAAACCTGCCAAGACAGGTGACAGTAGTTTTTTCTCCGTTTTTTTCAAAGCTGCAGTCCGGCGTTTTTCCTCTTTGTCGCCATCTCTGTTCAAAATCTGCAATTGCAGCCATTCGCGGAATTATCTTTAACTTTTCGTGAGTTGTACTTCAAAACCCCTGACACAGCACAGTGGGGATGAACACAATGTTTGAGGAGAGTGTGAGGCTGTCAGTCGCCACCGGTGTGGATACTGGCATTCACAATCACAGATTATTCTTTTTGGAAGTATGACCATCCACTTTAACATCCACTTTTGTTCTGGTTCTGACATTGCAGTAAATCTAACAATCGCTTATTAGTTATCATATCACGCAAAACCGCGCAAATTATACTTTGTTCTGAAATTGTTAAATGTTAACAACGTCAGTATTACGTGACTATATGTGATATTATCCTTGTTTTCCTTTTCGCACGGGTCTCTTTTTTTCTGTAGCCACTCTGAAGTCCAAACAAAGTCTTTTAGCATTTTACAGCGGGTGAATCTGTCGTAACTGGTGATTGTCGCTTGAACCTTTCTGGATCCGCCATCAAATTGATAAGTTTAATTATATCAAGTGCAGTGAGAAAAGGCTATAAATCTCCACCTCCAACATCCTCACATGTAATATAGCCGAAACTCTTCTTTATTTGTGCAGAGATGTGCGCAAAGACATGCTTGAATATCCTGTGGAAATCCACCAGTGCCACTGGAATAAAAAACATTAGTACAAGCTTACCGCTTTGAATCGAGCGAAGGCAAGCAGAGAGTTTTGTATTTTATCAAATATGTATTTTGGATCATTTTTAACCCCAAAAAAAGCTACTTTTTTCATAATAGATTATTATGAAAAAAGTATTATATATGTACAGTATGTGTTGTACCTGAACGTGTTCATATTTTGGGCGAACGTGAAATGAACGTACTGTATTACTGCCTGATGAACGTGTTAAAGAGCCCCTATCATGGATTTTTGAAAATGACTGTTCATATGGTGTGGAATATAGCTCTAAGGGAATGAAAACATCCTGCAAAGATTTATATCTGAAAGTGCACCGTATATAAAGTTATTGTCTTTCAAAAGTGAGAGTCGACTCTGAGTCAATGAAATGAATTGTTTTTGAAACGAGTCATTAGCTGGTTCGTCGTGACGTAAATACATACTGGCCGCGTGCAGACGGAAGTGTAAACTTGAAGTCTACACATTCAAATACTTCATCAAAGCATCATGTCGAGAAGACGCTGTGTTCTACAATGCAAAGATAGTTCAGCCACTTTGTTTTCATTTACCAGGGACGAGCATGTGAAGAATCGGCGGTTAGAGTTCATATTTGCAACTATACCACAACAGTATAGCCCGATTGTGTTCTCATCATTTTATTGACGAATAACGTTAGTTCAAAAACATAAATGAATTCAAATGTGGATTCGCAAGCGGTTGTTCCTGAATGAGGGCTCAGTAACTTACTTACCCAGTGTATATGGATCAGCTTCCTCCTTCGAATCACAACCTGGAAGTATTATTAAGAATTGTTGCTTTTATGGGTTTTGAACGGTTTTGTTGCGTCGAGCGCGAGGAGAGAAGCCGCAATAAGTATGTGTGTGCGCGTAAGTTACGCTCAGCGCAGCTTCTAGGTCTCCAATGTCAATTTTTTTTAAATATGTGACAAACAATGTAACAAACAATAACTGACTGGGTCTGTCATCTGACCAATCACCGCTGATTAGCGTCACGCAAAGGAGTGGTTTGGAAAAATGAGTCGTTGTACGAATCATTTGGGAGTCGGTGAGCAAATCAATAAAAAAAAATGCATATTATAAGACAAATAAAGTGTTTTTATCCTTGTATGCATGTTAAACTGTTTTTGGGAACTACTTAAACAAAAATAGGAACATTTCAAATGCTATGATAGGGGCTCTTTAAATCTGGTGTCTGTGAACGCACACTCTCTCAGTTTAACTTTGTTCAATAGGGTGCCAGATTTCCATAGAGCCTTCCAGGCGAAAACCCGGCTAAAACACACGTAAACAGGCGTTAATATGTAGCAAAAAATCAATCTGCCTACACAAGACGCCAGTGTCGCATCGCGGCCGCCGTCGACAAAGCAGCAAGTGAGGAGGCGTCGTATGATCATTTAAACAGATTTTATGACGAGTTCAGTGAGGATGGGAAAAATCTTACATCTCTGTGCAAACTTTGCCCCTCAATAAAATAATTGTTGTCTGTGGTTGTATATGGGCTGTGGCAATAAAAAAAGAAAACAAAAGCTCGCAACTTGAAAAAGAACTATAAATGAACTAGTTCATTTTAAAATGTGTGAACTGAACTTTAAACTAGTTCATGTAGAAAGTGAACTCTCCCAACACTGGTAATATATATACATATACTCAAATTTGACTATTTAATTGGAGTACAGTAGTAAAGTAATGAGAATTGGGAGAATATTATATTATTTCAAAATGTAATTATAGAATATATGTAAATATTAATACAAATAGGCTATAGAAATACTGTTACTGTTTATAAACGTGTGTGTATGTGTGTGCGTGCGCTCATGCTTGTATGGGTTTCATACGTGTGTTGAGTTTCGACATTGCTGAGTATTTGTTTATCCACCAAAGGGAGAAATAATCCAGGGAAGCTGTCGGCTGAAAATATAGACATCACAAAACGGTTTCCTCCTGGGAAATTACCACAGAATAGCTGTTGAACCAATATGTAGAGATGTGCTCCACTGGTTTGCAATGCGCTCCGAGCGAAAACCCCTCTATGTGGTCAATTTAAGACCTTTGGTCATTTTATCAGCGGTGTTTGCTAAGTCAAGCATCTCGATCACTCGAGAAGGCCTAAACCCAAGTATGAAAGTTCAGTTGTTTTTGTGCTCCAGACGTGTAGATCTAACAGTAATGCACGACGCTGATAATGCCAAGGTCATGGCTTCGATACGTTTCAGAAAATAGAAATAGTTCCAGTTGTTTAATTAGAAGTTGTTAAAGTAATATATATATATATGGATGCGTTTCGGTAATGAGAATTGCTAAGTTTATAATATAATATTCTTTTTCCCCGCTGGACCATGAAACAGCTGAAGAAAAATCACAAAGATGAACGAAGCAAAAGATGATGGAAACGCAGGGTTCCCGCGGGTCCTTAAAAAGTCTTAAAATGTCTTAAATTAGATATTTAAAATTTAAGGCCATTAAAAGTCTTATAAAGTCTTATTTTTAGGTATGAAAGGTCTTAAATTTTAGATGACACTTCGACTCAGTCATATCTTAATGTTTTCCAAATTAAAACCATCTAATTTGCGTACGTATTAATTTTTATCTTTGTGGATTTGCTTGTTCACGTGACAATTCGCGTCACATTCGCGGCAGAATAACGTCCGTCTCCTGCACGCGAGACAGGAGAGGAGGAGAGAAGAAAGTTGGCAAATGTCAGTTAAGTCGTAAGTTAATTCTTTATGTGCGTAGAGGTGTGCGATGTGTATTGTCTATTATGATACTCTATTGTTTTAACGATGGACGAGGCACTGTGAGTGTGAGCTGACATCGCATTTGTCTCTCGTGTTTTCACGGCGTGATGTGTGCAGTTATAGGCATAGACATGTATTTATTATGGTTATAGGTATGTCCCCAAATTTTTGCCTTATATTTATATCATGTTGTTATATTAGAATATCACATCAGTAAGAGTGCCGTTTTCCCGTGCACAAGTGTGATATTTATGTTATACAATAGTTAAATTAAAAATAAAGTGACATTTTGAGTTAGTTTTTAGCCATAACATTATCGATTTAGTTTGTTTTCCCTTTATTTCGCCGACTAGAATTTCAAAATGAAACCATAGCAGAGTCTCAATGCAACAGACAGCGATGATTTCTTGAAGGAAATCCGCGTCTTGAACGAGTCATTTTAACGATTCAATCACTTGCTTCTTTCCCGTTTGAACAAATCGGTTGAATGAATGACTCCCTCAACTCGCTTATTAAGACAGCGATTTGCCGCCGCCTACTGGCGGTTTTAGTTTCATATTAAAAGTAAAAAATAAGAAATCATTTCACATTTAAATATTGAATATTGATTTTTTTTAAAAACCTTATAGCTTGATTTATGCAATTGTAAATGGAGTCTGTATATTAATGCCACTTCTAAGGCTGCTTCTGCGTCTACTCTGCACTGCAAAGATGGATTTTTGATTGAATGATTTAATTTGACTGCTAACAGTGGTACTGTATAATTATTGTGTAATGAAATATTATTGTATAAATAAGTATAATTACTGTATATATGTGATGCACGTGATGCATAACTCTAAATAAGTTTAGAAAAAAAAATCTCCATAAATAGGTGAAAATGCCCTGGAAATCAATTTAAGGTGGCAAATATTGCACATTAATTAATAATTTCTGTCACTGCTGTGAACTGACCACTGCATAGAATATGAAAAATATAAATATCTCCACGAGTCTGCTGTCAACAACAGGCCTAAACCAGCCATGGCACCAGCACAAAAACACAATCAGTAAAATATCAACTAATTATTAAAGTGTATGTGTATGGTATTAATTTGGATTTCTTCAGGTCTTAAAAAGGTCTTAAAAAAGCCTTAAATTTTACTTTAAAAAGTGTGCAAGAACCCTGAAACGGCATAACAAAACACTAAAACACACAAATATGCACAAACGGCACTTTCATTTCCCTCCCAAAATGCAAAATCCACTTTGACTGCTGCTAGATGAGCACTATCTGTCGGGCATTCATCCGAACCCTATAAAATCCATGTCTTCTAGGTGTGTGTCTAGATTTTTATTATAGCCCTCCGCCACATGGTCCCTGTCTATTACGCGACTCTTTAACTGCATAAAAGAGCTGTTAAATTCCTGGACGTAATGGGCTCATGTGATGGATGAGAATAGAGTATGTGAAGACCTTACAGCGCC